CACCAATCCCGGCCGCGCCCCAGCCTCCGCCTCCGCTCTCCACCAATCCCGGCCGCGCCCCAGCCTCCGCTCTCCACCAATCCCGGCCGCGCCCAGCCTCTGCTCTCCACCAATCCCGGCTGCGCCCCAGCCTCCGCTCTGCACCAATCCCGGCCGCGCCCCAGCCTCCGCCTCCGCTCTCCACCAATCCCGGCCACGCCCAGCCTCCCCCTCCACCAGTCCGGCCACACCCCAGCCTCCGCTCTCCACCAATCCGGCACACCCCAGCCTCCGCTCTCCACCAATCCCGGCCACGCCCAGCCTCCACCCTCCACCAGTCCGGCCACACCCCAGCCTCCGCTCTCCACCAATCCGGCGCGCCCCAGCCTCCGCTCTCCACCAATCCGGCGCGCCCCAGCCTCCGCTCTCCCCTGCAGCGCGCCCACCGCTCGCGCCCGCCACCTGGGCTTGGGACAAACAGCAAACCGTCTGCTGGGGACACGGGGCATCTCCGGCCAGGCCAAGGCGCGGGCTCAGGCCTTGTTCACGCCGGTAACTCGGGATGTGGAGCTCTCCCATTTACCCTGGCGCGCTGTCGGCAGCCCTAGCATGCCTGCCGAGCCCCGAGAACCACCAGTGGCAGAGCCACGGCTCAAACCCAGGCAGGCGGGCCTGAGGCCCTGGTCCCAGCCTGGCCCCCACCCCGGTCCCCCTGCGTCACGTTCAGCTGCGACGGGAAAGGCTTTGTGGAGCTGTCCGCCAGTCCTGGGGCCTGGACTCAGGGCCCGGGCACTGCCCCTCAGCTGCTTTTCTTTTTTTACTCAAGGCTAACACTCTACCACTTGAGCCACGGCTCCACTTCTGGCTTTTTGATGGTTCACTGGAGATAAAATTCTCACAGACTTTCCTGCCCAGGCTGGCTTTGAACACTAATCATCAGATCTCAGCCTCCTGAGTAGTTAGGATGACAGGCGTGAGCCGCTGGCGCCTGGCTGACCTGGCCTCTCCTTCTTGGAGACAGAATTCAGGAACTGAGATGTCCAAGGACATCCCCCTGCTCCACTGCCAAATGACCTTGAAGCAAGAAGGGTCATATGCCTCCTAAGGAAGCTGCCTTCTAGCCAATACTAGGAGATGGGGAGCCGTGGGCACCCCACGCCAGGCTCAGACCCTAGTACCAGAGGACGAAGAATGCTTCCAATCCAAATCCAAAGCAGGGTTTCGGGCAGAGACCCCCACCTTATCTAACAGATCCCAGAAGGCAAAGCCACAGAGCCACTACCCAGCAGGAGCCTGGCACCCACCAGGGCTGGGGGCCGGGGCCCTGGGGGGGAATGAAGCTTCCAGCATCTTCTTCCACCTTCTCAGCCTCAGGAAAAGGGGAGGGGAGAATGGCTGGCAATATCGTTCAGTACAAATCTCCTGTTGGCTTCCTCCTCTCCCATGAGGAGGAAGGACAACACAAAAGATCAACGCAGCCAGCATGCCAACCGTGTCTGTAATCCCGTAATCCCAGCTCTGGGAGGCTGGGGCAGGAGGAGGCAAGTTCAAGGCTATCCCGAGTTAAGACTCAGTGAGTAAAACTCTATTGGGATGAGGTGGGGGGGTTGGAGGTATGGCTTAGTTGATAGAGTGCCAACCAATGAGCAAAAACATCAGGTACCAAGTTCAAGTCCTAGTCTCAGACAAGGAGAGAGAAGAGAGAGAGAGAATCGTAACAGCTAGAATTTCTTTGGGCACCGACTGTGTGCTGGTCTCTGGGTGGAGTCTGAACACAGAACGGATGTCTCATCATATTCTCACCCTGTTTGGCATAATAATGATGACACCATGTTAAGACACTGAAGCCAACAGCACCGCACGGCTCCTGCCCAGAGTCACAGTAGGGCTAGGGCTGCGGACTGGCTCCTGAGAGACGGGCAGAATGCCGGCGAGTTCCACAGGCTGCACGAGAACAGACCGGGGGAGGGCAGCTGCCAGGACCAAGGAAAGAGCAGCGGCCTTGACGGATGAACTGACAACTGACCACAGCAGAGCCTGGGGCTGGGCTGCCCGCCCTCGAAGACTTGGAAGGGCGGGAGACAATGGAGGGAGGCAGAGAGACACCCAGAGACCCAGAGAGAGGCAAGCCAGAGACACGGAAGACGCCACAGACAAGCAGCCGAGAACCAAGCTGGAGGATGCAGCCCGACAGGGCAGAGGCCCCCCAGACAGAGCAGCCTCCCCAGCCAGCCACTTCCTCCAAAGAAGCGTCCCCACACACCCTGCCTCGCAGCCTCCGAAGTTGGGCCCAGCCTCCCTGCCTCCAAAGGCGGGCGGGCGGGATGATGGAGAGACCTCGGGAGACAGGTGGGCTGGGGATCTTTGCTGGAAATGTTCCCTCCCCACTCCACCCCGCTCTCTCCCTCCCTCCCCTTCCCCCCATCCTCCTCCCCCCCACACACACACAAAATGGCTTTCTCCAAAGTTCTCTTCTAAGTCCCAGAGGAGAGTCTCAAGCCATGTGGGCTCACCGGAAAGAGAGAGAGAAAATCAATACTATTGATTAGAGCTATATTTAATGCTCTCTGTAGCTCTGGTGTGGCCCTGCCCGTGTGGGGCAGGCCAGCCATGGGTGCCCACCATGTCAAAGGACAGCTAAGGGGTTGGGTGTGGAGGCCCCTCCCTGAGGTATTGGGAAGGAAGGGGGGGAGGGGAAAGGAGATGGGTGGGGGGAGGGGACACCTCCTATATGGGGCGCTTGGTGCCAGCAGCCCCCCCCCATGCTCTGGTGTCTCGGGGTGAGGTGACCCTGCCCCCACCCCGGAGCCTGCGGGGGCATCCGAGCATGTACCAAGCACCCGCGGCTGTCTGTGCCCTGGGGGCCAGAGGAGCCCCGCGCTCTCCCCAGCGGGAGAGACGGCCATCCATGGCCCAGGACATAATGGAGCCTCAGACAGCGAGAAGCTCTAGGAAGAAAAATAGACTGGAGACAATGAGGCGAGGGGGCCCAGCCCCGCACAGCTCGGGGGTCTGGGGACAGGAGACACCCCTGGCGGCACACCAGGGCGGCGGCCCGCAGGTGTTGGAGGCTCCCTGACCCCAGGGCGGGCGGGGACCAGCCCAGGCCAGCCCTCAGAGGCCAGCCCCGCCCAGCGCAGAGCCCCCCGGCCTGACCCTCACAAGGCTCGGTTCCCGAGCTGCAAGGCCCCCCACAGGTCAGGTGACTCCCTCCTGCTGCCCCTGGCCACATAAATCACCCTCCCAATAATATTTGTATTGATTATCTAGATTGGAAGCCTCATTGTCTCCCCCAGGGCTCACAGATGGGCCCCGGCCTCATCTACCTTTCTAATGGGACCCTGAATGGAACAGCAGAGGCCCACGGCTCCCGCTGCCCAGGTGCCGGAACCCGGAACCCCAGGCCCTAGAATTTGGGGAGGCTAGGAAGTGCACGGCAGGCCTGGGAGCAGCACCTGCCTGCTTGCTGTCCCTCAGCCCAGACAACGCACAGAGAAGGCAACTCGCCGGCCATCCGTCATACAGCACAGGAAAGGCCCGTGCAGGCAGAGGCCAGCAGCTCCTGGACCCCTGTTTCCCCCAGCTCCTGCCCCATCTCAGGGTACGGACAGATGGTTCAACCACAGTCTGACAACCCCCTCCTGTGCCCTCCTGGCCTAGAGGGGCCAGCAAGAGCTCCCAGAACCCCCGGGAAGCCACCTCCTCCCTCCCAGCCAGCAGCTGCCCCTTCCCTGGCAGCAACCGGACGGAGGATCCCAGGGAAATCTACCACCTGCTCTGGAGGAGGCTGAGGCTGGAGAGGACGGAAGGGGCAGGATGTGAAAGGAGAGAGACTGAGCCCACGGGAGAGGGGACAGGGTGTGGGGAGGGAGCACAGAGCAGGGGACAGCAACAAAGGCAGGAGGGAGCCAGACCAGGAGCAGAAGCAGGGCAGAGAGGGCAGGTCAGGGAGGCAGAGGGCGTGGACAGGGCCAAGGAAGTGGGGGAGCAGCTGGCCGAGAGGCCCCCCCAGCCCGGGCCCAGCCCGGCCCGGAGAGTGCGGCAGCCCGCGAGGTCACCTGCCCTCGGGGCACAGGGAAATAAATGGTGTCCAGGGTAAAAGGTCCAAGGAAGAATTTGTCTTGTCACCTCCTGACCGAAGTGATCAGACGCTGGTGGGCCTTCATCCCAGAAAGCCCTGGGCCGGAGGGACCCACCCCCGCCTCTGCCCACGCACCCAGAACCCCAGCTAGGGGGCAGAACCCCAGCTCGGGGGCAGATCCCCAGCTCGGGGGCAGATCCCCAGCTCGGGGGCAGAACCCCAGCTCGGGGGCAGGGCAGAACCCCAACTCAGGGGCAGAACCCCAGCTCGGGGGTCAGGGTGCCCGCATGGCCTGGGCCTGGGAAGGCTGCAAGGTGAGGCCTTCCCGGGACGGGGGGCGGGGGGAGGTCCCAGGGCCTCACCCCTTCCTGCCCAGCAACGATAAGGAAATGATCCCTGTGCCCAGGGGAATGTGGGTCTGCTCTGCCCACACATGTGCACACGTACGCGTGCACGCACACACGTGTGCACACATACACACATGTGAGCACATACACTTACATGCACACGCGCATACGTATGCTCATGCACACACACACACACACACACACACACGAGAGCGCACCTGTGCACCTGCACACACGCAGACACAAGCCCCAGGCTGATTCCCACCAACAGCGGCTAGACCAGAGACACACCACAGAGGCTCCACCGGCCAGGCAAGCACTGACCTCCCCCAGCCCCCGGCTTGGTGTCCACACCCTGGTCAGTCCCCCCAGGAAGCTCAGAGCTCAGGACGCCCGAGCTGGGGTCGCCCGGCCAGCGCTCGGTGCCCACGGGTGTGGGGGACTCGCTGCCCTGGGTGGGCCGGGCCGGCACGTACCATACTTGTCCCCGTCCTCGCCGCGGGCGCTGATCCTGCGGCCCTGCACCTGGATGTGTTTCCCACTCGTCCGGCTGTAGAGCTGGTACAACCGCAGCTGCTTCCGGCTCACATCGTCCCGGGCCCGCGTCTGGTTCTCCACGTGGATGCGGAAGTCCACGTTCTCCTCGGCGGCCAGCACCTGAGCGGGGGCAGGAGAAAGCGGGAGAGGTGAGGCAGCCACGGACACCGGGAGCCACTGGGGCTCAGAGAGGTACAGGGCACTGCCCGAGGGAGGGAGGGCCAAGTCCAAAGCTGGGGCCACCGGAAAGCAGGCTGGACAGAAGGAGGATGGGCATGCTCACAGCTTCTGAGAGACCACCGCGCGCAGGGCTCCCGCCTCAGGACCCTTCGGGGATAGGGTGCCGCAGACCACAGGCGGCGTGGCTCACGCCCGCCCGCGACCCTCGCCGTGGCTCACACTCTGAAAGCTGAGATCTGAGGGCCGTGGTTAGGAGCCAGGCCAGGCAGGAAAGCCTGTGAGACTCTGATCTCCACTTAGCCACTAAACAGCCAGAAATGGAGTCATGGCTCAAGTGGTAGTGCACCACCAGCCTTAACACAAGAGCTCGGTGACGGTGCCCAGACCCCGAGGGGCCGGCACAGAAGAATGGGCCGCCGCGGTAAGACTGACCGACGTCTGGCCAGCCTCAGCCCCGGCCTGTGGGCCATCCCCCGCCCAGCCTCCCCCAGCTCTCCACAGGGGACACCCCTGCCAGCAGGCACCCTCTGGCAGCACCAGGCAGCTCAGGGACCAGGCCCTCCTGAGGAGCCTCCCTTCTGCATCTCCACGGAGCTGCGCTGCACCTGCCCCACGTGGCCCTCACCGCCCAGTCCCTCCGGCAGCTGCCTCAGGCTCCACCCTCCCGCTCCATGGCCTCTGCCTTGGGTGGTGTGCCCGGCCTTCTCCTGAGCCCCCGCTGGCGCCCCTTCTACCGCACAGCCCTCTCGGAGCGTCCCCAATCTTCCCACTGAACCTGGACGGGGTCCCCGGCTGCCCCCAGGGTCTGCCAGGAGCCCCAGAGCCCCTCCGGGACGGCCTCAGGGCCTGCGCTTGCGCTCCCTTGGTTCTGGGGCTCCTCAGATCTCTGCTCCGGCCCCGTCTCACCCCGGTGAGCACTCAGAGGTGGCCTTCACAGACACCTCCTGAGCAGCCCCTGCCTCTGCCAGCTCCACACTCCACCATGTCCCCCGCGCTATCCACATCCCCACCGTCCAGGCCCACCGCCACCCACGCCCACCACTATTCACATCCCCACCGTCCACGCCCACCACCGCCCACGTCCCCCGCCGCCCACGTCCCCCACCGTCCACGCCCACCACCACCCACATCCCCCGCCGCCCACGTCCCCCACTATTCACATCCACCACCGTCCACGCCCACCACCGCCCACGTCCCCCACCGTCCACGCCCACCACCGCCCACGCCCACCACCGCCCACGTCCCCCACCGCCCACGGCACCGGTATTCCACGCTGGAACCCCCCCCAGACAGCCCCGCCCCCCACTCCGGAGGTCTGAGACTGGCTGCAAGCACCCACCCCAGCCCTTGTCTGTGGATGGCTGAGGCGGGGGCCTGGCCCCCCTCGGGCGTCCCTGTCCACACTGGCCTGCTCTTCCACCTGAAACCTTCCCTAACTCCCAAACTCACCACTGTCCGCTGCTTGGGAGCCTCACGCTGCTCTACTGAGAAGGGAGGGAAGCGGCTGGGCTGAGCAGCCTCAACCTGCCACGCAGGGCAGACCCGGGCTTTGGGCCTTGCAGCCGCAGCCCCCCCGCCCCCCCCCGCAGGCCTCAGCACTGGCTCCAGGAGAAGGCCAGGCCCGCCACACCCCGGCCCTGCCCGAGAGAGGCTCTCCACCCAACAGGAGACACAGCTGCCCTGTGCCACGCCCACCCTGCGCCTCCGTCCCCTACCTACGGAGCAAGCATGGTGAAGAATCACGCGCTTCACGGCTGCTCCAAAGACTGAGCACCCAAGGCCCCACAGTCAGTGCTGCAGGCCAGTCTGGAGGCACAGCCCTGGGTGCCGGAGCCCGGTACAGAGGCACAGCCATGAGTGCCGGAGCCCGGTACAGAGGCACAGCCGTGGGTGCCGGAGCCCGGTACAGAGGCACAGCCGTGGGTGCCGGAGCCCGGTACGGAGGCGCAGCCCTGGGTGCCGGAGCCCGGTACGGAAGCACAGCCGTGGGTGCCGGAGCCCGGTATGGAGGCGCAGCCGTGGGCGCTGGAGCCCGGTACAGAGGCACAGCCATGGGTGCCGGAGCCCGGTACCGAGGCGCAGCCGTGGGTGCCGGAGCCCGGTACGGAGGCACAGCCCTGGGTGCCGGAGCCTGGTACGGAGGCGCAGCTGTGGGCGCCGGGGCCCGGTACGGAGGCGCAGCTGTGGGTGCCAGAGCCCGGTACGGAGGCGCAGCCCTGGGTGCCGGAGCCCGGTACCGAGGCGCAGCTGTGGGTGCCGGAGCCCGGTACCGAGGCGCAGCTGTGGGTGCTGGAGCCCAGTACCGAGGCACCATGGCCAAGTGTCTTTGGCTGGCAGGCATGCGCAGCAGCGCTCAGTGCAGCCGCTGAGAAAACACCAGCGGCTGTCCAGACCCAGTGCCCTGGGAAGACAGATGTAGAAACTGCGGCTCAAAAAGGTCAGTTCAAGCCGGGCGCTGGTGGCTCACACCTGGAATCCTAGCTACTCAGGAGGCTGAGATCTGAGGGTTGTGATTCAAAGCCAGCCCGGGTAGGAAAGTCCGTGAGACTCTTATTTCTAGTTAACAGCCAGGAGACTAGAAGTGGTGCTGTGGCTTGAAGTGGTACCGTACTGAGCTGAAGACCCCAGGGACAGAGCCCAGACTCCGAGTTCAAGCCCCACAGCACCAAGCAGGCAGACCCTCTCAGAGGCCTGACCCGCAAGCCCGCCCGGCACGCCCCAGCCCTGCTGGGCGGCACATACCACTCAGCCTGGTCTGCGCCCCAGACCTGCCCACATCCCAGCCTGGTGCTCGGGGCACTGGGAGGCCATGCTGCTGGACCCCGCCCCGGGGCCTTTGACCCTCCCGCAATGAGGTCTGGAGGCTGCCTGGCTCTGTTCCCTCCCTTCCTCCCCTCTGCTCACCAGAGACCTTATCGATCAGAGGTCAAACCAATCTCCTCACCCCAGGTCCGGGGTGGGAGGGGTACCCCAGCCCAGTGCAGCCTCCATTAGTGATTTTCGCCCTGGCCCGCTGGACAGGGTGCGCAGAGTGGCCGGCGGCCTTTCCCTAGAACACCCATTTTTCCTCCATTCCAGCCCCACTCTGAGCACAGCAGTCTGTGGGCGGCAGTGGGCAGCCTCCATGTGTGTCCTTCCGGAAAGCCGGGAGTGCCTGGGCTGCCGGGCAGGGCCTGGGGTGGGCCCAGGGCCTGCGCTCTTCCACCCAGCCCCCCGCACCTGCTCTGAGGGCCTGCCTAGCCCTGCTCCAGGGAGGGCCCTGGACACGCCACTGTCCCAAGTCCAGCTGGTCCACGTTACTACAGGATCTCGGTTCTGCCCCAGGAGGCCACTGGTGAAGGGCTGTGGCAAAGATTAAGGGAAGGCTGAGGGACAAAGGGCCCTCCCGACACGCAGGGCCCAGGGCCATCCAGGGATGTGGGAAGCTGCAGAGGGCGCTCTGGAGGAAGCTGGCACGGTACAGAGCCACTGAGCCCCCCCGGGGGTGCCCGGAGCCATCTCCAGGGCTGAAGAGCCCCCAGCTTGAGCTCCGACTGACTCCAAGAGCGGGAGCTGGCGCTGCAGCTGGGGAGGGAGCCAGCCCGAGGCCGCTCTGCCCGCTCTGCCCGCTCACCAGAGACAGATGCACAGAACCCCACAGCTGCCAGGAGGCCAGGCAGGGAAAGGTGTCCCTCGGGAGGGGGTGACTCCGCACCTCCACGCCTAGAGCATCCTGCCCCCCCCCGGCCCACCCCGCCCCTGCCCCGCTCCCCGGCCTGTCCATTAAGCTGCCTGGACTATGGATGCATGGACTGGCAGGGCAGAGCCATCAGCCTGCGAGAGGGCACAGCCCGTTGGGCCTGGGCTGAGGCCTCCAGCATCTGCCTCCGCTAGCTCCTGCTCCCTCCCTTCCCCTGCCCCACCGACCGCCCCAACAGCCCCTGCACTCCCTCTTCCCTGAGCCCTCAGGGGGAAAGGGTACAGTTCATGCCTGAGATAAGGATTCTCTCAGTCCAACCAGGAAGGTCTCCAGCCTTTCTCACCATCCCCCTCCACCCAGTCTCCAGATACCTCCAGGTCTCCACCGCCCCCCCCCCCCCCCCCCCCCCCCCCCCCCCCCAGGTCCCCTCCCACACCCCCTGGGGTCTCCCCCCCTCTCCATGCCCCCCGCCCCCTCCCACACCCCCCGGCCACGGCTGACGGGTCCCTGCTGGGCAGCCGTGCTGTCCCACCTGGCACACATCCTCTACAAACCCGCATGTGCACACAGAGCCGAGCACAGGCTCACAAGATCCCCACCCAGCGCCTTCCTGGGGTGTGCTGCTCTTGGGAACTCCCCAATCCCAGGGCTGTGACAGGCCGTGTGCCCGGGCTGGGGAGGGCGCCCTTGCCAGCTCCCCTCCCACGGAACACTCCGGACCCCGGACACGGGGCGCATGGCGAAGCAGGCCTGGCGAGCCGCGCGATTCCGGCTGAATGCTGCGTGAGTGCTCTTTGTGCAGTGCTCCTTCGCTCCCCGCAGTGGCCCCGAAGAAGGAGGCGCGCCTCTTTACCCCGTGTGTAGATGGGAGAGGCATGGAGGGTTGAGTAGTCACGAATATTTGCTGAGCAGCTGTCTCCTCCAGCAGGGCCTCTGCGTTTGAGCCCCGAGCCCGAGCCTCAGGGCGGTGAAAGGGTGAGCCCGCAGGACCATCCCTAACGCAACCCAGTGGGTCTGCCAGGCCTTCGCGATGACCAGCCGCCCGCAGCCCCGCGGCCACGGGCCTGCTGCTGTTTCAGAGTGAGCCGCACTCTCAGGGCAGAGCCAGGCTGGCTCTGCCGCAGCCCTGGCCACACCGCAGGGCTTGGCATGCCTTCACACACACACACCAGGCCTGAGGCAGGGGCAGCCCTGGCCCACATTGAGGTTCCAGGAGGTGGGAGATGGGCAACAAGGGCGTGGACATAGCCACTGGCAGGGAGGGGGGAGGAAAGGACACCCCCCCAGGGGACACCAGAGCCAGACGGGTCCCCAACACGTGCGGCTACACAAGCCCCGGAACGCTGAAGCCGCACTACGGGCTGTTTGGATTTTGTGGCTTTGTTCTGGGTTGGTTTTGTTCTGACCCTTTTACACGTGCTAGCCTCCTGCGACCCTTCACCACGACACCCGGCTGCTAGAGCCAGGCAGGTAGCCAGGTGACGGCGGCTGGCAGGCCTTGGGTGCCAAGCCTCTGCTCGGACCTGCCTCTCCCTCCTCCGGGGCGGTTTCCCCAGACCATGGCAGCTGAGCTCCGCAACCGGCCTGAGCCCGGCGGTGTGAGGAAACACCAGCCCCACGGGCTGTGGCTGTCACGGTCACCCTTGGGACCCATAGCCACAGAGCTGCCCTCTGCCGGGCAGAGGCCGCACCCTACACCGCTCCAGCCCCGGCTCGGGCGGTGCCAACCACGAGAAATTTGAAAAATCCACCTCCTTATCAGGGAGTGCGGTGACAGTCTAGGCTGCAGGAATGCTGGCGGGGCGCCAGCCCCTCCCCTGCGCCCAGGAACGTGGCCTCCCCCTGCAGCCACCACACACCATCTACCCCTAATTCTGGGCCTCACCCCAAGTCGGCACACTCCAGGAGACCAGCGCCACCCCTTCCCGCTGGTCCCGGCTCCCACGCCTCTCCCCGGGACCCACATTAAAGACCTCGCCACACACACCTCTCCG